CCCTGACGTCGACATTTCAGCCGAATCAGGTGACGGTTGTTGACCTTGGAGATGGAATGAGTATTTATGAGCGTGGTGTGAGCAAAATAAAGGATAAATCAAGATCGACTGAAGAAACAGAAGAGGGTCCAGTCAGCCAGAGACCTGGTTTTATGTGGGTTGATTGTGGACATGATGAAGCGGGAATGAATCTGTAAGCTGGGTACCAACGAGATCCTTGCTACAGCCTACACAATAAAGTCAACAACATCTGATCTCTGATGGGCTACACAAACAGCTGTATTGAAGATATATCTGCACAGCTCCTTTTTTGGGGGTTATATAGAGGTTCTTATCTGCACAACAATTATTTATACATATTGAAACTATTGGCAATTTCAGTGAAGTAAAAATTTCACCCAAACTGCCAGCAGTTTCAACATGCATAAATAATTGTTGTGCAGATAACTAACTCTGAACGACCTCCATAGTATGTTTATGGTTATAAGCCATTGAGCTTGCATTGGCTATAGTACCTAAGTAAAAGAGAATATATTAGAAAAGAGTGAGGCCAAGGTAGTCTTAAAGAGATTAATAGGGAGCTAGTAAACAAAGGGAAGAGAGACTAGGCTACTACCTAGAGAAATTGAAGAATAAATGGAAAGAATAGGAAATAGATAATAGCAAATTAACCTATTTTTTTATTATGATGTTAAGAGGATATTCATAGATATTCTAATAATACTGGTTATTAGCTAAAAAAATAGGAATAATAGGAGTGTATATAGTATTGATTACTAAGTAGATAAGCAACTCAAAAATTCATATTAGTAGATTTTTAGTAGCATAAGTGTATGCTAATGAGAAGTGTTAGCTGCTCGCAGGCAAAAAAAAAAAGTTTAACTACTTTTGTATTCACAATACAAAAAGCAAGCCCGACGGGGGGGTCGAACCCCCAACCTTGAGATTAAGAGTCTCACGCTCTGCCGATTGAGCTAGCCGGGCGCCTCTTGTTATCGCTCGGCGGGAGTGATAATATGCTAGCAAAGGAGCTAGCGTCGGAAGAGCTCGAACCGGAGCTCAGACGTCGGGGAGAGAAGGTCGGGATTGTAACGGGTTATATTGGGAAACAGGTTCTGAGTCAAGGAATATTCGGGGGCTTGTTGTTCTTGTCTTGTCCTGTCGGTCTGACTTCTCCATATATATGGAGTAGTCAACGAGTGTCTTGGCTACGCTTTAGGTGTAGCATATACGATAGGAATTCCTGTGTTAGGATCCGTAAGAGGAGCATAAAGGGCGGACTTGTTCCGTAGACGAGGCAGTGTACTTGTGTTTATATTGCGAGTGGAACCTTGTGCGTGTGTGACGTTGTCTTGGCCCGGGTCTTGATCTTGATCTTGATCTCGCAGGTGGGCTTCGTCATGTTCATGCTCATCCAAGTTGAGCATAACACTCTTCTTCGCTCCTCTTAGCGCAGTAATCTTTTTGCACTCTTTCGCCGCCGCAACGCACTGTTTGCCGCCCTGAGTACGCCCGGATTACGCCCTGAGTACGCCCAGCACCGCCCAGTACCGCCCAGTACCGCCCAACAGCCACACCACCAACCGCAACTGCACCCGCCAGCGCCATTGCGCTTCACCTGTTACGCATAAATTTCAAATTTATTTGGAATTTGTGAAGAAATGGCGAACTACGTTCCCCTCGTTGCCTCTGGCAACGCACCAAACCAACTCGCAACCGCGAATGACCCGGCTGCGACCAGCGTTCCCACGGCGCAACATCCCCACCATGGTGGAGCTGCTGCGCAAACGCCCCAAACGGCTGCCACGGCCAATGCAGTGGCGCCACGGCCTGCGGGATTCTCGCCAGATCTGCAACCAGTGCAGCTGCTGGCAGCAGTAGTGCCAGACGAAGAATGGGCGGCTCTTGGCATCACCAGCGGTGGCCACGCGGACCACGTCGCCGCTGTGCCAGGGACTGCCCCACCGCGCAGGCAGCTCTCCTATGCCGAGGCAGTAGGAGGCCACAAGCGCCCACGCGCGCCCCGAGGACGCAGCACCGGCCAGGGCGCAAGCCAAGGCCCACCAGCGCCCCGACGCCCATCACGTCAGATGGAGGCCGAGAAGGCTGAGTATGCACCGCTGCTCAACTCGGCAACCATCTACGTGCCAATTGCGAGCACGAACCCCGACCGTGCAACGCTGATTGAGAACCAGGTTTTTGCGGCTCTAGGCCGCCCGACGGTGCCACCGTCGCACCGCAACTACCCGATATTCTCTTTCACACGCACAGCAGAGAAGATCGGCGTCACCCTGATGAGCCTGGACGACGCCATCACCATCGCTAAGCACCCATTCCGGCTTGGCAACCAGGAGCTGCAGTGGACATCGGCAATGGGCGTGATCCATCACGTAGCCATTGCCCACGTCCCAGCAACGCTGCCCTACAGAATCCGCGCAGCACTCAGGCCCTACGGCCAAGTTTCCCACCTGGAGCCGGTCCTCATCAACCAGCGCCACTACGGAGACTGGGAGTTCCTACTCCATGTCCCCAACGGGAAGACGCTGCCTGCATCTTTCAAGATGCACAAGCATCCGCTCCCAATCCCTCTCCTGCGGGGTGATTATGCCACCATGGCATGCCCACGATGCAAGGAGATCAACCCTGAGCAGTGCCACTGCCCAGGCCCTCAGTGCCATCGTGCCCACTCCCAGCGCCATAGCGCTAACCACAACAACCAAGCTGAGGCACTAGTTGCAGCCACCCCAGCTGCACAGACCCACGAGCCCTCCCCCGACCTGGATGTGCAAATGAGTGAGCATGCCATCGCACAATCGGCAGACCAGCCACGCAACTCTAATGGCCGACCAGTTTCGATCTCACCAGCCATCCTTATGGCTGAGGCATCGCCAAATGCACAAATGGCATCCCTCCCAACCACACCTTCTACACAGCAGGCCCCATCAATGCCAACCAGGGCAACTCCCCCAGAAGGCCTTGTTGACTTCCTGCCATATGGGCCACAGCTGCCCCACAGCACAAGTGTGCCAACCACTGCCAGCGAGTTTGAGCGCATCCTCTATGAAGATGACCACAGCTCAGCTGCATCATTCAGCAGCCAATCAGTTTGCTCATATAGTGAGCAATTCGGCTTTGAAGATGACGAGGACAGCGAGCAACCCTATGCTGCCCCAGCAGAACCCCTCCCTGAGGGACTGCAGATCATAGAGGACAGCGCATCTGATTCCTCTGATGCTCCACTAAGCCGCAGACTACGATCCCACACAAAGAAGGCCCGCCACACATCCCCACAGTTGGACAAGCAGGGCGCTGCAAGTGCTCACTAGAACACTAGCACCAAACTGCTAACAACTGGAACTGTTTCTGAATGTCAGCTCGAGAAATTCGAGAAGATATGCTAGAGACCATTGGCAAACGACCTACCTCTTCACGACCTTCAATGGGCTCTATGGCTGATGCCCCATTAGCCAGAGGCCCACCACCACCCCCAAATGTCCTTGCCGCTGCCTTTGTGCCTGATGAACACAATGATAGTGACAATGAGGATCCACAAGAACAGGAGCCTTCGGGCACTGACTCGCCACACCCAGATTTACCAGCCTGGGCTGAACTACCAGTCCCTGAACCACCATCCCTCCACCCACTCTCCCTGCCATGCCTCTGTATTGCCTCAGCAAATATGCAAGGTGCAATGAGTAATGAGCAGAAATTGCTTGAGTTTGAACAACTCGCAAAAGACAATGCTGTGAACATTGTGTTCATCCAGGAGTTCCAAGGTGCATTTGACCCATCTACACGCCTACGGGGAGCATTCAATGGCTTTGTCTGCTCAGCACCTGCCCCCACTACTACACGATCTGATGGTCGCCCTGCCCACTATGACACAGTCATTCTGACAGCCAAAGCACTTGGCACTGTAGAGCTGCAGACACCATTCTCATCACCACGAGCAACATTCCTCACTATCCCCTCACTGCGCCTGTTGTTAATCAACATACATGGCCCTTTTGGACAGGAAACTGATGACTTCCACTTCCATACAGCGACTGCAGCCAGCATGTTCCAGGAACATGGCTGGACACTGCTTATTGGTGGCGATTTCAATATTGCCCCAACATACAGAGACCGCCTACATGCTAATGATGATGAGCGCAATTTCCACATCATTCCCATGTATAACCTCTACAACAATACTGTGGATATCCTTGACTTTCAGCGCCAACGCATATCAGCAGCACCTGCCAATGCCACAACTGGGCCACTGGTGGACGACTTCACCTACAACCACAATCATGGTGGGTACATATCTCATCTAGATCTGTTTCTGGTACCCCTCGAATGGGCTTTGCGATGGAACACAGAGTACATCGCCGCTCTACCAGTGGCAGATCATAAGACGATAATACTCACCATTGATTCTGTGACTCCTGAGCCTAAGCGCACACACCGACCATACCGTCTGGACCCTGCCAAACTCAATATCGATACCAATATTGAGTTTGTCAACAAGAAATTTGACATGTTCCTCAGCAACATCCCTGAAACGCCCAGAGAGATACTGCCAGCATACATGCAAGTCCTGGCTGACATACTTGACCACTTTCGCAAGGAGGACTACCAACGAGATCGTGGCAAGCACCGTAGCATGCGCTCTAAGTTTCGCCAATTTGCCAACTTGGCAAACCAGGCACGTGTGGCAAACTCCAGTGCAGCAGCTAAGGCACTTCATAGCCAAATGGCAGCTATTGAAGAGGAGGCCAAGGCACTATATGTGACCATGGCTGACCATGTTGCTGACTGCTGCAAAAACACCTGGCTTCGTAAAGGAGATCGGCGAAACACATGGAACTACCAGTGCACCAGAAATGCCATCAACCCACCATCCTCAACAACAATCACTGCCCTACGGGATGCCAATACTGGCAACATTGTGGAGGACTGTACTATGATCCCTGAAGTTGCCAGACAATTCTATGGGGGTCATTCCTGGACTTATAAATTTTAGTTATTTGTAATTTAGTTAGATAGTTATTTGAATAATCGTTTTCAGAACTATTTTTAGCTACTAGATATTTTTGGAACAGATAACTATAATTGTTGTGTCCAGAATGTTTTTGTGTGTATAATTGATTTTAAAAATACAAATATTTTTTTTTGCCATTTCACCCAAACCGCCATCGGCATCTTGGAAAAGTTTCAGTGAACATAATTTCCTTGTGGTTGCTTAGCCACATCTATTGAGATATTGACTTTTGTTGCCCAATGATAATTAACCCCAAATATGCAAAGGTTTTTCTTTCTGGTTGAAATTATGTTCACTGAAACTTTTCCAAGATGCCGATGGCGGTTTGGGTGAAATTTTTATTTCACTGAAATTGCCAATAGTTTTAACATGTACAAATAGTTGTTATGCAGATAACTAGCTCTGAATGACCTCCTATATGGACATGTACAAGTGCACCCAACCAGCAGCCCAAGATGTGGATCATCTGCTAGATCTACACAAGCAATATGTGGATGCTCGACCAGCAAAACAAATTGCAGAGGCAACAGCAATGGTGGGTGAGTTGATCACCTTAGCACAGGTCACTGAGGCATGCAAGAGTGCAAGCCGCAAACGTGCTCCTGGGCCCAATGGCATACCAGTAGAGCTGTACATCAAGTGTGCTAAAGCATGTGAAGCTCTGTGGCATATTGCAAATTGCATCTTGGCTGATGCATCCCTAGTCACTGAGCAGTTCACTGCTGGTCGAATTGTGATATTGTTCAAGAAGAAGGACCCACTGGACCTACAGTACTACAGGCCCATCTCTCTCTTGAACTCTGACCTCAAGGTCATCACAAGTATACTGGCCCGACGCATTGGCTATGCAGTCCAGCACCACATCTCACCAGAGCAAACAGCAATTGTTCCTGGCCGCAGGATGTCTGATGCTATCCACAATGTAATGTGTGTGATGCACCATCTCAAGAGACAAGAGCACCCCTCTGCAGTCATTATGTTCCTTGACCAGGCCAAGGCATATGACCGTGTGGCACATGTCACTCTCTTCCGCCTACTGCGTGAGAACTACAGGCTCCCTCAAAAGGTCACCAACCTCATCGAGGCACTGTACAGCACTGCATCCTCCTCTGTCATGATCAATGGCATTGACTCAGCACCATTTCCAGTGCAAAATGGTGTTCGACAAGGGGATGCACTATCATGCATACTATTTGTCATGGTCATGGAGCTGCTAGGGTGTGCACTGTGTGAACATGTCCCACACACATGTTTCCCCACACTGAACCTTGCATCAGGCCCAACACTATTCTCACACTCTATGTACATGGATGACACAGCAGTTGTTATCAAGCGTGCCCACGACTACCAAAAACTGCAGTATGCTCTCAACAGATACTGCAAGGGCACAAATGCCTTGTTCAACGTTGAGAAGACTGAGGCAATTCTAATTGGGCATAGCAGCTATGATGCTGAGAGCCCATCGGCCGAATTACCAGTCAAACCAGTACCAATTGGCACCCCTGTGCGCTATCTTAGAGCATACCTAGGCACTGGCCTAGAGGTACAGGATCTGGTCAATAGCTCCATATCACACATCTCGGTGA